CTTTCAAGCGCCTATAAATATTTTTGCTGAAAATCTTTGTCGGTATTTTAATTCTAGAAGTGACATTCTGTTTTTTGATCATAAGATAGGCGTGTTTAGAGTTCTTTTTTGTCGAACGTAAAATACATATTGTGTAAGAAACCATTTTAGATGTATTCTTTAACCGTTTCAGAAAAAGAACCAGAAAGTAGTAGGCTTCAAAGGAAGAAACTTAGGTTTTTAAACACCAAGTCTTCCATATAGACTTTAATTGCGTCATGTCCGTTCATAAGCTTTCTGTTCAGTTTAAAAGAAGGGAAATTTTGCGACCAAGCTGCTTTTTGTACTTATTTGTCGATGAAGAGGCGTAATTCGTCGATAAGGCAGGGGCGTTGCTCATCCATAAAAGATAACAAACAGGCAATAAGAACATTTTATATTAATATTTCCCTCATAAGAAATATTCTTACCTAAACTGCCATTACTTATTAATAAGTAAAGATTTATTCATTCATCATATCAAGATTTATTCATTCATAGACAGATTCACATCGTCTCAAAAACTGGGCAACGGATTTTACAATTTCAGTATTCAGCTTTAGCATTTTATTTTATATCCGTCGTTGAACAGCCGACACAATTTTGGGTTTACGACTACTTAAGTTCAATTCCGTAGCCTTGTAATTTTGAGCCAATCCAGAAGACAAGGAAACTCCTGGATCAGTACCCCAAGAGGTACTGATTTGTTATGGGAACATGGATGACCGGCCTTTCAGCTTTAACACTAGACATTGCTAAATTTAACACATGGAATTAAAAGTTGTAAAGAAATTAGAGAGATATTGTACTTCAGATACATGTGTTCTACACACGTTCACGCATGCATGTTCTGCTCAAACTTTATAGATAAATGAGGTTGCTCAGAGCCTACGTACTTGAACGAACGGAATGCTACATTGATGTACAATATTTTTTATAAATTGCACCTCTTACAGATCATTTTAATCTCCTTCACTTTAACTAGATCCATACAACGCAAACATCAGTTATTGGCCATCAATTATTACACCGACCACAGTGCTGACGAAAATACAGCGTTAGTTCTATCTAACAGTCTTTCACGAAAGCAAATTTTTTCCAATATTTAATCCACGAGTACCCTTGTCTTCGGGATTGGGTTCAAAATTAAAAACATACGGAGTTGAACATTGGTAGTTATAAACACAAAATAGAGTCGTCTGTTTAATGACGGTAACAAAATACGTCATATAGTGAGAGCCGGGGAGACTCAGGGGATAAAGCACTCGCTTAATAATAAGGTGAACGGGTTCGAATCCCAGCAACGGCTGGTCGATGTGAATTCCGCACCTAGCTGGCACCGACCACAGTCTTGACATAAAGTATTTTCAGGGGTAAACGGATCTTGGGTTAGAGTGTCCCTACCTAACCAAAGACATTCAACATGCACTAATGGACACCGCGATTCAAATCTCTTCGTTGTTGTTAATTTACGTCGCACTAGAGCTGCACAATGGGCTATTGGCGACGGTCTGGGAAACATCCCGGAGGATGATCCGAAGACATGCCATCACAATTTTGATCCTCTGCAGAGGGGGTGGCGCCTCCACTTCGGTGGCCCGACGACCTGCACGCGAAGTCGAGCACTTTACGGTAGCACAGTTTAACGAGGACCAATACCGCACACCCTCGGTCCCTACGCAGACTGATCCAAGTGGTCACCCACCCGCACACTGACCGTAGCCAGTGATGCTTGACTTCGGTGATCTGCTGGGAACCGTGTCTTAACGATCAGTCCACGGCGGGACTTCAAATCTCTTGGATTAAAGCGCATAACAATAAAGAAGGTAATGAGAGAGCGGACGAATTGGCCAAAAAAGCAACACAAAGCATTAAAAATTATTCCTTTCCTCTCCATGTTTCACACCTAAAACAATCTCTTAAAAATTCTTTATCTAGTAATTGGCAAAACCAATGGAATAATTCCGATAGAGGAAGACGTCTGTTTAACATCATCAATAATGTCAACTACTTTAATTAAATTCCAATTAAACAAGTCACCTGGTTCCTAACAGGTCACTGCCCTTTTCCTTCCTTCTTTCATTACCTTCATATCTCGGATACAAACCTTTGTACCTGTGGTCAACCAGAGCATTACTTATCAACTTGTCTATACACAATATCACGGCATACACGACTTTCAAACATTAATAATTTACATATTTGGCAAAAAAAACTTTCTTACAAATAAAACATTAAACTCTAAATTAATTAAAGTAATGAATTTTCTAGCAGAAAACGACTCCTTATTAAAATTTTAATTAAACCTGACTTTTTATGTAATCTTGATAGTGTTTAACAGTTTTTGATTTTGTCCGTCATTATAAATTTCGTCCTCGTTTACATTTTCTTTGTTTTCTTTTTGCTTCTTTTTTTTTTCAATTATTATGTATATAACAAAATTCGCTTCATTTATTGTTCTCTTTGCTGCAAATTTTTCTTTCTTTTTTTTTTTATAAATTTACGCATTATTGTCATCTGTATCATCTTTATTGTGCAGTTATGAATTTTGTAATGGTTTACTTTTGTGCGAGCTAGACTGTCGTCCAGACGTGGACTATACGGTTAAGGGTTTTGCAAACCTACACCCTTGTGCAAATTAATTGAAACAAACTCAATAAATTCAGAAAACTAAGAAAATGCTATTTTATTTAAATTTATACAAACTCAAAAATTTTTAGTACATAATATTATCTCCATGACACTATATTAACATTTGGACACGATTCGGCATGGATTCCACTAATTTTTTAGTCATTTATAATATTTGTGTCCTTGTACCACACATGAATTAACGCCGTGATTAGCTACTCCATAGTTGTACAGTCCATATTTAGTAAGCGATTCTTGATTATGGCCCAGAAATTTTCAATTGGGTTGATATCCGGAGAGTTCCCTGGCCATTCCAATGTCTCAATTTGATTCTCAGACATGAATTTCTTGACAATTTTGGACGTATGGCAAGGAGCTAAATCCTGTTGAAAAATCCCTGTTCCATCAGAGTATCGTTTCTTCAACTCTGGAATAACCTTCTTACCCAGAATAGTAATGTACTGCTCAGAACGCATCATACCGTCAATAGGCTGCAGAGGTCCAACCCCATTGTAACCGAAACAACCCCAAAACATCTTCCTTAAAAAACACGAAAAAAAAAGTTTGTTTCAATTAATTTGCACAAGGGTGTAGGTACGCGTCCACGTCTGGAAGAAAAAGAAAAAAAAGTATCCTTACCGTCAGTCTAACCGTGGGAGGTCTTCCTCCCCATCCAAAGCGAATGCCGGTAGTTCTCCCTATACTTCTTGATCCAGGAGTTTCCGTGTCTTCTGGATTGGGTTCAAAATTGCAAGGTTACGGAATCGAACATTGATAGTCGTAAGCTCAAAATTGCGTCGGCGAATATTTTGTCTTTTGGAAAGGCAAGATTTGTTGGAAGTATTATAAGGGAGAGTTTAAGAGTAAGGAAATATCGTAACTCTCAGAAGTCGTAGTCTACAGCAGTGTTCCCCAACCTTTTTATTACCGCGGACCAGTCAACGTTTGATAATTTTACCGCTGCCCGATTGGGGGGGGGAATTGATTGTTTATATTTAAGATTATTTTAATTTATTAATTTTAATTTAATTTAAACATGCCTTCGAAATAAAATGCAGTTACATCAAAAAAATAAATATAAAATGATTTAACATTTTAATTTACTAGAACGAAAAATCAATGAAAACCCTGAGCTTGTTTCTTTGCAATGAGACGGTTCCATCTGGGGGTAATCGTTTTAAATCATTAAAAAATTTATGTCACTACCTTCAGGGGCCCTATTTTTTAATAAATAAAATTTTAATGGAACACAGATATTTTTAATTTGGGGTAAGAGCCTAGGAATTTAAATTCAGTTTCAAAAAAATGGGTGGCCCGGTACCATTTGATCCACGGACCGGGGATTGGGGAACACTGGTCTACAGTACCTGGCGATATTATTAGACGCACTATAGGATTCTAAGTAGAATCTTAATTATTAAGTGATGCTATACAACATTAGCGTTTTTAAGCGGCTGAAACCGGTTTACACTTTTCGTGTATCACTTGGTTAACATTGTAATGCAATACGTTAAAAATAAACACATATAGGAAGTATATAAAAAATTCCCGAATGAAAACCGATTACATGCATGTTTAAATATGAAAGTATTGCATATAAACTCTTGCAAAACATGTAATTATTAAAACACTACAGTGTCTCATAATTGGATCTAATTATTGTAATATACTAATATATTACCTCATATAATAAATATTCTATATTATATCGTCCAATTTATCCAATCACCGAATTTTTATCATATATCGTCTAATTTAAACAATCGATACACGAACGTAAACAAGAGGTAACAGGTTTCAGTCTCGTAGAAGCAATAACGCTGTATAGCCTTATACAGTAGAAAACCGATCATTCGGAACGATCGGAATCATCGCTATTCCGGATAACTGATTTTTCCGGTTTTCTGAATCGCTACAAAAAACAGTTTTTTTTTATTGTCAAACTCAACTAAAATATATATATATAGTTAGAATAATTAAAAAAAACTCATACTTCTTTTGATAGTGTAGGAAACTAATGATTATTTTTAAAATGATGGTAAACATCTTTTAAAAAAAAAAAAAGAATTCTGAAATATTTTGAGGAAATTTTTTTTTAATTAAATGGCGGGAAAATGCATCGAATTTCGTTCCGGTTTTCTGGTATTCTGATTTCCGGAAAAGAGGTTCTGTACTGAATTAAGATTTTACATAGAATCTTATTTTATAGTGCGTCTAATAATTTGGCCAGGGACTGTATTTATAAAGAGCATGAATCATAAATTTGATGAGTAATAATTTGTAAGCTTATCTTTCTAGTGGTAAATATTTAAATACAGACAAAAATTCCATTTGAAAGAAAACACAAAAAATGATTTTAAGTGTTTTTATTTCGAAAAATACTTCTCTTCAAAAAAATGACAAGTATGAGCCGTGAACACTTTTTCGTTTTAATAATATTTTCAAACACAAAATTTATAGGAAAGAGCTGAGTGGTTTCCTTCATTGAATTATTACAGCAAAGAGTTTTTAACCCTTTCAATAACTACAATTACAAAAGGGAAAAACCAGCATACAATATTAGAATTATAAACATGATATGAAATCAGTAAAATTATTTTAAAAAAATAATTTAGTAGAAAATTGAACACAAGCAAAAAAAAAAAAAATACTTCTCCACTCAGATATAAATCAAAAATATTTAAATTTCTTTTAAAACATAAAATTGAGAAAAAAAAAGTAGATAAACAAATAAAAATTTAACTCTGAATAAAATGTAAAAGCAAACAAATACAGCTATGCGTTTGCATACAAATAAACAAAACAGACACAATGTTAAAAATAAAATATACAAAACACACAAAATCTTTACTTGTACTATAATACAGGGATGCTAATCTGCGGGGATTATTTTCTGTATTCAGAGGAGTATTATGAAATCCTCAACTGAAACATTTCAATGATATCCTGAAAGTTAATTTTTACCTATAAACTCACATACATTGAATAGCAGCGATTAGAAGTTATTTAAAGAATTACAAATGAGGCCCGGATTTCGATGACATTTGAATTATTGGATATTTGCTTTTTAGTTTAGATTTTTAGGGCTTTCTTTAAAACATTATGCGATATTTTCTTTTAATTTTTTTCTTCTATATTTTCATAATTTTTTTTTTTAAATCTTGGATATTTTTTTTTGTTTAGATTTTTAGGGGTTTCTTTAAAACATTATGCGATATTTTCTTTTAATTTTTTTCTTCAATATTTTCTTAATTTTTTTTTAAATTTTAAAATACTAAAAATATTTTTTATAATCCAATGAAATTTTGATATAAAGCATTATTGGAACTTTTTATGTTCATTAAAATTGAAATGCAAAATGTTCTGAGGTCAATAAATTTTCCTGTTTGTTATTGATAATAACAACAAAAAAGGAAATAACATAACATTTCAAACTTCAACGAACATATTGCATTGCTTCATAGATTTTGATCTGAATGAAAATAATTTTAAAGAGTCATTGTTTTAGTATAATATAGCTGCTTTATTCAAACACATTGCTGGTGTTTATAAAAAAACTTTGTTTTATTATAAAACAAATATTATAAAAAACATTATTTTAGTATAATATTTTTACTTTAAAAAGGCTTTATTGTATTTATAAGAAGAAAAAAAATTTAGCATTTTTTTACGGATATTTATGGGGATTTTATGAATCATCAAAAATCCGGACTCTAATAAAAAAAAATTAAAAGTTTATAAAAATATCCGAAACTTGCATAGAATATAACTGCCAAGTTAATAAAAAAAAATCGTTTCTGTACAAAAAAATATTGCAACAATTATCTACATTGAAAACAAGACGGCGCTTATGAAAAGTATAAAAATAAGGGAACATAAACAAAATATTAAATATTAGATAAAATGGCTTTAAATTTAAAGCGGTTAGCATCCATGATAATATAAAATGTTTGAAAAAAAACTTGTTAAAAAAAGGAAAGCACAAATTAAGACAAGCCCTAAGCAATAAACACAAAACGATATGTATGGCAACAAAAGTAAGAAGAAAAAATTAAAACATTCATTTAACAAACTGTTCTAAATAATTAGGCCTAACTAAATCGATACCAATTTCACCTTAGCTCATTTTCCACAGTCAACTAATTTGGTCCGTAGAGGTATTATGAAGTACGTAGACGTACCTTATTAATATAATGAGGCTATGTCGATAACAATTGAAGTTTATATCACAAGCATTTGATTTTCACAAAAGATTTGATATCACTTCGATAATCACAAAGACGTAAGAAAAATTTAAATTACATTAAGAATTTGAAAAAAAAAAAATTTCGAATACAAACATAGAATAAATTACCAATTCTGAAATAAATTTAAAAGATCAATTTAGGGAAATAAAAATTGCTTCTTTTCGTGCGCAATAATGAATTGAAAGTTTTACCTAAACTTTATTTTATAAAGTAAAATAATCATTTGCAATTTACCTAACAATTGCTGACAACATTATGATACTCAATCACTATGCTCGGCAATAAATTGCGAAAATTTTTCCGAAACCTTTCACTCGTTTCTCTATTTAGCATTCCCTTGGGAATTTTCAGCTAAAGCAATTAACTTTCTGGTAAAGGAATTGGTAAACAGCTCAATTCCCGAAAAATGGTCAAATTCTGAAACATTTATGGAATAGGGTTGAATGAAATGACACAAAATTCTTTCCGAAATTTTAGATTTTGGTATTTTAATGCCATCTACCACCGAAAATTCGTTATCTTATATACACACTGTGACCTGCAAATATGCCATCAGTGAAAATTTCACAGCATCGACGCCAGCCATGAAAAACCAAGAATGACATAATTTCAGTGGTGAAATGAAAGAAAATTGAGTTCATGGTTGATACGATTCCAATATTAGAAATTTTCGTCAGTATTAATTCGAAAGACACGCGAACTTCTTCAAAGATTTCCTCGTGTCTTGTCTAATATATTTTTTTAATTTTGAAGATAATCTGGTACGGGAATCGAATAAAAGAACAAATTCCCGCACCAGAAAATATATTTTAATTGCAAAAAAATATGTATCTCACATCAAACACAAGAGAAATCTTTCAGATGTGACTGACATATTTCTCAGCAAAAAAAAAAAAAAAAAGATTTATTAATTGCCTCAATAGATCATTTTCAAACGATATTGAACTGATATACAATTTCCAAACGATAAATTTCGCCTATGATAATTGCGCAGGAGAATTAATCATCTAAAATCCTTTAAGTATAATCCACACATGTGACGTCATTCTTACGTATTTTCTATTGCCTCAATAATTTCCTATAACATAATTTATAATTTAATGATACCGTTTTCTAATTGAAAGGTTAAAAAATATCTGGGAGTGAAATTGGCATCAACTATCGAAGGAAACCACGTACCAGAATAGGAACTATTTTATACAAAGACACAATTTTTTTTTCACCTCATGAAGATACCGGTATAGAGTAAAACTTACAACATGATAAAAAGAAAAACAAAACTATGTATCACAAAGTTTTTCAGCAGTACTTTCAAGTAACATCAACAGATTTGGCATGTAAAAATAGAAAGTTTTTCTCATTTACTCAATACAGTAATAACCTAAATTTCAAAATAAACACAATTTCCGGGGCACACTCTCAATCCAATTATTTTGAACTCGGATAGTTAACTGCAAAAGATCGTTTCGTGTAAAATATTCTATTACATACATTTGCAGCAATTGAGAAAAAAAAATCGGGTAATATCAGAAAACATACCTTTTACATTAAAACTATAATTTTCAACAAATGGCTTATTTTTCTAATTGCTATTTTATAACTAAAGACTCAATTAAAAAGGTAAAATTCCTAGCTTTGCTAAGTTTCATTTTTAAGTACCAAAAATCATATATATTACAGAAAAACCCTAGTTCAATAATAATTCCAACACAAGTTTTAGGCCTAACATCGAAACGTGGCATAATTAACTAATTCAGACACCGCCGAAATGATAGTAAATTTAAACCTAAAGCAAAGTCATATCTCATGCATCACTTAGTAAGCAGTTTAAAATAAGTTTGAGCAGAACTATCGATTACAAACAAACAACGGAAAAGCACTTCATCGAGCTATCTAAAAAAATGACCAGATGAAAAACCACCTAGGTAGTATTAAGAACTTTTTTCAGCTCACTCATTAAGTGCCAATCTGAAGGGCTGAGCTCATCTTTGTAGTACTCTTTGAGTACATCGATGGATTGTCGACTGATACGACTCACCAAATTGTCATCAGGTTCCAATTCCAACGGCTGATGAAGATCACTGTCAACAGTCACCAAGGCACTCTGGCCTTCTTTGGCACATAAAACAGTTTGACCATCTACTTGAATCAAAGTAACCGTTCCGATGTCGAGATTAGATCGCTTGGGAACGCACAGGGGCGTTCCATTTCTCAGCACTCCAGCCTCTACAGTCACGTGCAATACTAAGGGAGAACTGCAATCTGCCGTTATCTTGGCCAGCAGTGTGAGGATGCAAGGGAAAACGGCAAGATGCCGTTTCTCATCCAGCTTCTTCAGATGATTCTCTCTGTGTTCAACGAACATATCGAATAGATGGTAGATTATGTCAGCGTGCAAGATCTTCACCCCCAGATGATCAGCAAGCTCTTGGGCGTCTTTGTCTACCTTGACGTCAAAAGCGAGTATGGTCGCATACTGACTGTCGTGTTCCAACATTATGGACGCTTTCATGACGTCCTTCTTCACTACAGGACCCACCTTGACACCGAAGTATGGTATCCCCGATTCCGAGAGGTAGTCCAACAAAGCTTCCAAAGATCCCAGAGTGGACGCTTGTACGTAAACTCCACGTTCAGATGTTTTAATGTGATTCACTGCAAGACTTATAAGCTGGGACATTTCATTTTTAAGTGCCTCCATTTTGCTGGGATTCTGAACCACATAAAGTGGCATACCAGCTAATGTTTTGTCTAAATCCTTGCCAGAGATCTTGACACCCTGAGCACCCTCTACAGTTTTATAATCTATGTATGGATTTTTCACCCTTAGTTCTTTCAGAGGATGCGGCATAAGAAGTGAGCGAATCTGAGTGACAAAAGGACCATCTTGTCCAGCGAGAACGATAGTATCACCTTCTCGAAGCTGGCCATTGACTAGGATCACATCGATTGTCGTTCCCAAGCCAGGGGTTACTTTGACTTCCAAAACTGTGGCTTTCAACTCGTCAGAGTAAATCAGTTGCTTGTACATCATAGACTGCGTGAGCTGAGTTAGAAGACTCAAAATGTTGCCCATTCCATCTCCAGTTACGGCCGATATGGGGACCATTGAAACAAATGTTCGGGGATTTGAATTCTCATAATACAACGCAGCGTTCAAACATTCTTTGGCGAACTGAAGAACTATATCTTGGCACCTCTTCTTGAATTCCCAAAGGGTATTTTCGCTTTGACTCTGAATTACCTCGACGATATCGGCGTTCTCAATACTTTTCCAGCCGTATATGCGATCTAATTTATTTAAGGCGACGATAAAAGGTGTTTTGCTTGCCTTCAAGAGATTTAAAGACTCCAAAGTCTGGGCTTGCAAACCATGCATTATATCAACGACCAGGACAGCGATATCACAAAGAGACGTTCCCCTCGAACGCAAATTTCTGAAAGACTCATGACCAGGAGTATCTATTACGAGTAAGCCAGGCACTTCCACATTAAATGTATCAAAGTCTTTAACCATTTTGCACTTCTCTTTCAAGGCGTTTCGTGGAATCATTGTGGCTCCGATCTGCTGAGTGATGCCACCAGCTTCGGAATCTTGAATATGAGTTTTTCTTATATAGTCCAACAACTTCGTTTTACCCGTGTCCACGTGACCCAAGACGCATATCACAGGTGACCTCAGTCTCGATTCGGACTCTTTGTCTTCCATAACTGTTTCGCTTATCAACGAGGTCGTTTTGACGTCAGTCTGAGTTGGTTTTGCGGCAGATTCTTTGGCCTCCGATTCCAATGACTTTTCGGAGGGAAGATTGTCGTCGTCCAATGCATCCGAATCCTCAGAAAAGCTGTAATGACCCGTATCTGATTCGGTAGCGAGAGACCCGATTGAAATGAAATCGAGAGACTCTTTGGATTCGAAACTGTTCGGAATATCAGAGAAACTTTCTTTCGATTCTTGCGACGAAAACGACTCAGTTTTGTTGCGACTCACTTCACTCCTGTCGGACTGAGTCGAATCGAACCTTCTTCGAACGGTACTTTTGTAGCTGCCAACTCGAACACTCTTTTCTGGTCTCTCACCGATCTGAGGAATGTCCACACCCTGCTGCCTGTATATTTCGATAGTTGCTTGCATCCGCGCTCTAGCCTGCTTTTGGGACTTGGACAACAAACGTCCTTCAGATTTCAGCCTCTCCTTTCTTGCTTTCTCCTTTAACTTCTTCTTCTCTTTCTTTTCCTGCTCCAGCCTTGCAATTTCCTGCCTTCTCTTTTCAGCTTCTTCTGCCTCCTTTCTTTTAGCCTCCTCTTCCCGCTTCCACTTTTCTTCTTCTTCTTTGGCTTTTCGAAGAGCTTCGTGAATGGCAGCAAGTCTTTTCTTACTCAGTTTCTTCCTATCTTGCTTACTACTATCACCCGTATCAAACGAAGGTACGGCTGGGCACTCAGTGGGAGAATTCTCTGAGGAAGGAGTTGTATTTTGGCGAGATCGACCTACCTCATCAGTTGCCTCTTTATTCGCTTTATTCTTAGGCCTCTTTTTCTTTTTATGACTTTTAGATTTAGTAACATTATCAACATTACTTGGACTAGAGCTTTCGGCATTAGGTTCATCCGAGAATTTTATCTTTAAGTCTAGGACTTCAGGCACATTTCGCGTATCGACTAAACAATCAGGGTTACAATTATCAATAGTTCCATTCACAGAATGTTTATTTTCTTGTAAAAGCACCCGCTTGTCGCTGCTTCCATCACAAGCAGACAAATTTTTATCACAGTTAATTTCACATTCACGAGTCTCTGAGCAATCACTGCTCGTGGCGTTGGCGATCTCATTGAGCAATTTCTCGTCCTCCGACTCATTATCACAGTCAGCATCAGGTTCGGCAGTCTCGACTTCCAAACCAGCTATGAGGGCAAGTATAGATTCTTCCTTATCGTCTTCCGATGTCGTATCCTTGCAATCAGTGGAGCTTCCATTAGCAGGCTTGTCGATGGAGTGAGACTTGCTCATCCAAAAACTGGAGTAGCAGCCCACGTCAGCTTCTTCGGAACAGACGCTGATCCTGCAGGAGTTGTTTCGGGACCTCGAAGTGTAAGGGAAATCTTCCGGCGCGTCTGGAGATCGTTTATTATGTCGCTTGGGCAGAACAACCTTAAAATCATCAGAGGTGAGGAATTCTACAGGGCAATGGTTTCCGTTCTCTTCAGAATCACTCTGGGATGATTGAGTGGCATACTGCTTAACTTTCCTGTTCCTTCCCATTTAGAGCTCCAAGCTCATTAAAGTTATTACCTGAAACAGACAAAACAACCAGTAAGTACTATAATCAAACGTTAACAGAATTTTTTAAAAAAGAAAAAAAAACGGTCTGAATTAGACATACTTATTATATAGATACATTTATTAACAAAAAAGAAAAAAACGGTTTAAATTAGACATACTTATATTCCAACGGTTTACACTAACAGGCTAATTTAGCAAACTGGAAATGTGCAATTATACCGGGTTGTTAGTAAATCGAAGGTACTGAGAGGCTGATAGCTCTGATTCAACTAAACGGATCCAAAAGAGCCGTGATGGCTCAGGGGACAGAGCGTTAGCTTTCCAATGAGGTAAACCGTGTTCGAATCCCAGCGATCCCAATTCAAAAATTTTGATGGTTTTCTATTAATGGTCCAACCATCAATAATTCCATCATCAACCATCATATTTTTTGATAGTAACCAACCTAAGTAACCATCACCCCAAAGTAGGTATTCGGACTGATTTATGATGGTCCAACATAAGAATAGCAACTTGATAGTTTGTTCAAATTAAGCCATCAGAAATTTCCATCATAATTTCTTAGAAATCAAATGTTGGAACGATCATGAATAACCATCAAACCAATGTAGGAATTCGGACTGATTTATAATAAATGGGCCAACACAAAAAAAAAAAATTGTATGGATGGTATATTCTTAAGAACCAACAAGAATTAAAATTAAACCATCGTGGAAACGTATAGTTGGAATCATCATGGATTATTGGTTCATGAGAATCAAACTTCTCTTGATGGTTAACCATCATAGCATTAAAGTAGCATTTTTCATCAAGGAATGATGGAAGTTTGTTGGCATATCAAAAACCACAAACACATAATGAAAAATGTTGGACGATGGCGACCATCAAATGATGTTGGACCATCTTGAATCACACATAAACAACCAACATAAACCATCAAAATGATTTGTTAAAACACAAAAATTTTGTCTTGGGATGGCTGGTCGATACGAATTCCGCATCCGGCTTGCACCGCGTTCACAGTGCTGAAGTAAAATATTCTCAGTGGTAGATGGATCATGGGTTAGAGTCCCCTTGCCGTCATTCTAACGGTGGGAGGTTTTCCTCTCAATGGGGGTTAGTTCCAAATGGGGGTTAGTTCCATCAAAAAAGTCCTCTACGAAGACAAGTTTCTCCCAGCACTTAATCCAGGAGTTCCCTTGTCTTCTGGTTTGGGTTCAAAATTAAAAGGCTAAGGAGTTGAACACTGGTAGTCGTAAACTCAAAATTGGGTAGGCTTGTTCAACAATGGTTATAAAAAAAAAAAAAAATTAAAGGAAAAAAATAAATAAAACCCCGATCCGAATGAAACTTCAAATATTTATTATTTAGGTCATGGTCCCGACGTTTCATCCGTAAAGAAAACAATTTGAAACATCGCCGATGGATGACGATGCAACACTAAAACCATATTGAAATGATGCATACATGCGAATTGTGGCCTGACAATTCGCATGTATGCATCATTTATATGTCCACAGAGAATTCAGAGCTGTATGCATTATGACCACAGAGTATGCAGGTTGTAAACAAAATATTCTTTAAATATTTTTAGCAGTCATCTTTTTTTTTATTGTGTTACAGAGTTAGTTATGGAAAAGTTTCAAATTATATTTTTTCCAGAAACCTTGGCACCATAATCCAAACACCAAATGTTTGTGCAAATTATCCGTTCGGTAAAATCAGAACGAGTCTCTGAGCACAAGTTTAAATTCAAAAAAAACAAAACACGAAAAAAAACACGTACATTTTATTTATTTTTTCCGAAAAAGGACATTTTTGAGAAGTATTTGATTTGGTTTGTACCAAACAGCAGATTAAGCCGATTTGGCACCTCTAGTTTCACGTTGCTTTGTAATTCAAAAAACGACTTTTTGAAACTCGCGTATTTCTGATTTTTTATACTTTGATACAATTTAAATGCGTCTTAAATCATTCATGTGTTATTCTTAGAGAAACGTATAGATAGAACCTTTTACCTAGAATGACAGGAGAGGCCAGAGTGCTCCCTTACGTGTTTTGGCAGGTTTGGATATAAGATATATGCCGATTTTATTTTTTTTTAAAAAAAAGTATTTCAACATAGATATAATTATTATTTATTGATAGAAGGAAACTTAATTATCTAAGAAACTAATATATAAGTTTAAATCGAATATTTTCGGTAACCAAATCGTATAAAATACCAAAAAATTTTGATAGCCAAATCTATTATAGGTTTTTATTAAATTAATTATGATTGATTTTTAGATTTCGGACGTCTAATTAATCTACACTTTAACAATCTAATTTGGAGTTTCAGTCTATCTAGTGCTAAACTTGAGACCCGACATCTATATATAATGACACGATAAAAAAAAAAGAACGAAATTATGTTACTATGTGTAACAAAAACAGGGTGCGTAGCCAAAATTTTTAACAAAAATAAGCACCTTTAAAAGTATTTTTGAAGCACTAATAATATTTTTAAGTACTATATACAATAACAAAATGCAAAATAATTTTCAAACAATTTACATGATTATGATAAAATAACTAGTTTCTGACAAAGAACTTCCTCTAGGTTATATTAGCCACCGTAAAAAGATCGAAAGATTTTTCGGTTCTATTTCAGAGGGGGGAGAGGAAGCCTGTGAAATTGTGAATATCTTGCAAAATGCAGCAGAGTTGCACATGAGAGTCCTAGAATCTCACCGTACTCAGCTCAATAGACGCACACGCGGACTCGCAAGTATTTCAACAAACATGTAAAATGATTGGCGTTTTCATACGCTATATGGACCGACGATAGGACAAAATGGATTGCGGTTGAATAAATTGCGAAAACGTTGAATAGAACAATATGAAAAGCACGCTTATGCATAATACGTCGCGAAAATCGACAAGGTAAAGAAAAGAAAAAATCTCATTTTCGAAAAGGGAAAATTAAGCACTTTTTAAAAAAATAATGAAAAAAGCACCTTCAAGCCTTTAAAGTACGAAAATCGAAAATAAGCACCTTTAAGCACTTTTTAAAAACGCGACGCGCCATGAAAAACAAATGAAGTTTCTTACAGTGCTTTTTTCCAATGAATGAATGAGTTCTCACAGTTAAAAGTATATTTATGGTTTTCCCAGAATTCTCTAACAATTTTAACGTTATTTTTGATACATATAAAACATAACACATAAAAAAATAGTTTTGAGAGTGGAAAGAAAAACGTTGTTTTTAAACCGAATAATAATAATTGTTGTATACATAAAACAAGATGCAGGAATTATGAATGGCTTATTCATTATCAAATCCAGAAGAGGGGATCTCCTAAATTCCAGAATAAAAACTCGTATATTTCATACTTTTTATCAGAAAAAGCGCCGACATTTCAAACGATTCCGCTTTTGGGAAATGCCGAAATTGGAGAAAGCATAAAAAAAAGAAGAAGAAAAATAGAGATGCTTTCTCTGTCTATTCGAAAAGTAAAAATGTCATGTCCTTCCACAACAAGGTGACAGGGTGATGTTTCCGCTGTTTACAAAAACAAGACCACCCACGCCGGCAATTATCTAGTATTTATAAAGACCTCCTTTGCCTATTTGGCGATTTATTTATAATTGTTGTTTTTAGTCCATTTCATGTCAAAAATAGTTGAAATCAGCCTCAATTATCTACTATGTTTACTCTATATAATTCATTAAGAGGAAGTTATATCAAGGGAGAAATTCTTCATGGCAAATACTCTTTCATGTCCTGCGGCAGAATTTGTTCCCTAGCATTAATATTTTTTTTAAAGATACTTTTAATTATAACAATTACTAATTTAAAGTAACAGAAATGTTGTGTTTAGAGAAGAAAGTATAAAATAAAAATGTATAAAAATTTGTAGTTGTATAAGTATATTTTAATTCTAATATTATAGGAGCTTTCTCGCATTTTGTAGGCGGAAAAATGAACTAGGTATTTCCTCTTTCGAATTACTTTACAAAAATTAAAATTCGTAAATAAATTAAACGATGGTAAATTAAAATTCGTACATAAATTAAAAATCATAAAATCCGCGCAGTAACTCCAAAATAAAGATCGACGACGAAATAACGCGAATAAGACTCTTTAAAAAAAAAGAGATACTCAAATAAGAAAGAAAAAAAAAAAAAAAAAATTTTTCGAATTTCTAGAGAGAGCTATCTTTCGCGATTTCTGATTTTTTTTTATTTTATATTATTAATTTGAAATTCTAGCTGAAGCCAGTCATTACGGCCTTTTTTTTCCAATCCAAAATGAGAATAGAAAACGACGATTATTTCTTTCCTCTCTGATGCGCAAGAAATAAATCCTTGAAAAAAAATTCTGCAGAAAAAAAAAAAAAANAAAAAAAAAAAAAAAAAAAAAAAAAAAAAAAAAAAAAAAAAAAAAAAAAAAAATCGAAGAATTATGCAGAAAGGAAAATTAAAATTTTTTCATTCCTAAATGAAAAATTCTGTAACGCTCTGCGACAATGTCGCCGCAATCCTGCTATGGAGTTTTCATGTACATAAGCAATTTAAAGATCAGAAAAAGTTAGTTCAGGTGAACCTAGAGTGAACCATGTTTGGGATACTGAAAAAAAAAAAAAAAAAAAAAACTAATATAAGTACCCCCTCAGCACTCTTATTTTATTCTTTTTTTTTCTTCTCCTAAAAATGAAAAAATATAATTTTTTCACAGTCAATCACAGTTATAGTATCTTAAATTTGAAATAAACCTCAAATTTTATACTTTTACTCGAGAGTTTCGGCCTCTGCTCGATATCGCTTGCCAACCCCCACAATCTCTTCTCAATAATTTTTTTTTCCCCGCGACAGTTACATCGCAATTAAAAATTAGCTATTTAAACGAAAAAAAATTTGTAATGACTTTGATGAACTATGAATAAAAAAAAATCTAGGATTCTAAAGAAAGTTCTTAATAAAGACATCCAATTAAAATATTTAACATTTAATGACATCGTATACAA